TTTATTGAAAGTGAGTGTAATGTAAAATTGCTGTATTTCAAACCAAATTTAAATTGATTGTAATTATTTCTTTTAAATCACTAAAATTGGCCATATTTACAAATCTGTCAACACAAAATTCTTTTTATTAAAAGATTTCAAAAATAAAATATACTTTTCTTAAATTTGATTTGAAGAAGAGATAAATTAATCTGAATTAAAACAAATATTACTTACTTTCAGTTTAAAATATCGAGAAAAGGATTTTTTAACACCGAGGTGGATGGTTTTATGGGGGTGTTGACATTTATTGATAACCTGATGTTTGGCATTTTTAAGTAAAACTAACAGTATAACCAGTCTTCAACAGAGTCTTTCATTACTAGGAATTTTTGCCGTTCAATTGGAGCTGTTTAAGTTTAAAGTCAGCCCACCTGAAAATCAATATTATTAACAACAATTAGATACAACTGAGGCACATCCCAAAGGCGGGGGTAACAATTTGAATGGGCAGGTAGCCCTGAAAATTGCCGTTTTTGTGTTCTCAATTTTGTTTCAGCCTCATGCGCAGCAGCAGTTGAAGAGATGTTTCTCCTCAGCTGTTGAGTCCTTTGATCATCATTTTCAGCCTTGTGTACAGAAGCATTTGGATGAAAACTGTAGAAATGCATAAACAACATCTGATCACACACACACATTTTGAGAATTATAGATATAGATAATATTATTGTAATAATTTAAAGTATTTATTTTATTAAAGTTTTTATGAAAGATATATATCCAAGAACAGATAGTAAATAGTAAAACGTTATAATGGACAGGAAGTAATGGAGAGCCACTGCCGCCAACAATTTGGACTCAAAAACGACACTGAAGAATTATCTATCAAACAAAAAAAATTCATTGAAATTGGATGAAAATGAAATGCATAAACAACATCCAATTACATATTCATTTTGAGAATTATAGATAACTGCAAATTATAAATAACTGCAAAAATTACTTGAATATAATGTGAACACCATATATATAATTACTTTTATTATCATTTTAGAAATTAGAAAAACGTGTTGAAATCGTTACACAATAGCTTTCATGATTTGGTACTAAATTGTACCTCTTTAGGCGAATGGTAAGTGACTGGTGATTAAATGATTTTAAATAAATTTTCAAAAGCACAATGATACCCCCCTCTTTTATCTTTCAGAAAAGGAGGTAAGAAAACATATGGTCAGAATAAAAAAAAGACATGTGGGTTTGTCATGATCAACCAATTAAATATCAGATCTATATTAAATAGAAAATTAAGCTCAGAGGCTGGAAGTGAGGAAGTTCTTTTTTTCATGACCTGATAAACCGAAACATAGACAGGTCATTATTGACAATTACAGAAAAATGTAAGCAACAAATGTATTGTAATTGTAGACAAATATGACATGTTCAATTTTTCAAAGGATGCTGAGGGGAGGGGAAGATGGATAATCAGACGTAAAGTTAATTTCAACAGAAAAAATTTTTTTTTTAATTTTCAGATTCAGGAAGCTTCTTAAAGGGACCTGTAGATAAAATTATAACTGTGAAACATCTATATAAAATATAAATAATACTAAATGGACAGAAATACATAGCAATATTAAATCTGAATAAACAAAATAAGAATTACTTGTAGAGGGTGGACCATTATTTACTTATGGAATTAGCTAATTTTTAAAAGGTAAAAGAAAATGTGCCAGCAATTTACAGTTAATTCACTTCTTTGATTTAGCAGAGATTTTTTTGTCAGCAAATCGGATCATTTCTCATTTAAGCATAAGAAACAAGGTTCATTTAAAGATTTACAGGTTCTAGCATTTTTAGCATTATTAGGGGTTTTGTTAACTTTTTAAGTTCCAAAAATATTTAGAAAGGGACATCCTATTTTTGTAAGCATTATTGGTGAAAGATAATACATGTTGATACCACCTAGTTTTAAAAGAATTCTTGGTACTCCCAACATATTGGGATTGAATACTTTTTTTAAAAAGTAAATGCTACAAACATCGGAATTTTACTTCATCTGTTCTTTCTCTAATTTGGAGGTGTGTGTGTGTGTGTGTGCGCGTGTGTACGTTAAATACCCAATAATCTTAAAATTTAGGAAAATATTATAAGTAATCTAATATTTAACTGAATCTTAGGTACTTTGTCTTTATAGTCTAACTTACAAAAATGATTGAGGAAATGTTAAAAAATGACCAATAAATTTTAAATTAATAATAATTGCCACTCTTATTTTCTGATCATATTGTGGATGGATGTCTGTATTTACAAAAATTGGTACTTTTATACACATACAAAAAAAATTCAAATTTTTTTTAAATACAGGGAGGGGTGTCACTGAATAAGCTTTTCCATTTATGATTAGTAATATAGTTTTAACCTAATAACAATATCACCTAACTGGTACAAATTAACACAGAATTTTAAGATTTAAAACTTTATAAACTATTTTAATAATAATAAAAAAAAAAAAAAAAAAAGAAGATTTTTTTCCTTAAGACAATAGTGTCCATAATATATCTTCTTCCTAAAGTAAATAAAAGCTTTCTAATTAAGTAGCGTCTTAGTTATATTGCATTTTTTTATTTTACAATTCAGAGGCAATTTTCTTTAAGTGGGGATCCTGTTTGGCAAAAAAAAAAAAAAAAAAAAAAATATTGAGGATTTAAATTCTCCGAGAACTTATCCTTATAACAAATATAAACATTAAGCTCTACAAAAATTAATTTCTTGAAATTTCATAAAATTAAATAAGCAGGGGGTAACAGATGTAAAAAAAAATATTTTACCAAGATTCTCTATAAAAAAAAAAAAAAAGAAAAAAGTTTCTAAAATAATTTGTGAAGCAGTCCTGAAAGTTTCACTAAAATCCAACAATTATCTGAATTGTACAAGAATTTCCAAATCAATGTATTTTTCACCTTAAAAAGATGTTCATATTTTCCATACTAATTTATGGTCACCTGTTGATGCAAGAAAAACAACATTTTTAACTAAAATTTCAAAGGTTCCAAAAAGGATTAAAAATATAATAATCAAAAATCTTTCATCTTAATAATAACAAAGATTTTGGCAATAAAACTTTGTTTCTATTACATTTGGGGCATTTTTTGCATCGTGTATGCTCATTTTATAGCAATAAACATTTATTTTTATTCGCTTAAAAGAAAAGAAAATGATTGACAATATCAATTTCAAAGCATGAACCAGAGCCAAACTTCTTATATATTTTTTCATTTACAATGGACAGAAACAGAACATCCTGATTTGATTTTCTTTTAATTTGTACTTTAATGAACAAAAGTATTAAAAAAAAGAAAAAATCCCCTAAAGCTAAAATAGGGTAATGAAAAAAAAAGAGAATTTACATTATTTAGAACAGTGATTTTTATCTGGTATATTGAACAAGAATGATGTTAATCATGTTTACAATAAAAAGCAAAAGTTTCACTTGACAAAATGCAACATGAAAAGAAGCCGAGCACAACAAAAATGAACAAAAAATTCAAGAGATAAATACAAAACTTTAAAAGTTTAAATTTTTCAATAAATAAAATGAAAAACTTTTTCTTTCAAAGACAAATTCATAAAAAAAAAAATTAAGATATCAAGTAGAATGTTAGCAAGGATAATTTACAAGTAAAACAAAACTTTCAAAATTGGAATAGAGAAGACATGCCAAAGCTGTTAGAATTATTTTGCAAGCAGTTAAAAGGGTTTGTTTTTTTTTTTTTACAGAAGTGGGGTTAACAAATCCGGTTTGATATATTTTGCAGGATTAGTTAAAAATATAAATTATACAGGCCATGTTTGAAATAAATTTGGGTCAGTTTTATATTGAAAGGAAATAAAGAATAGTAAAATATTGGTTAAAAAAGACATTTGTCTATCCTCATCTTTCCAAGTATAGTAAAAAGAATAAGTACTCAGTTTAATACAGTACTGAGGATGCAAATTTTGAAGCTGAAAATATACAATAATTTCAGGGTTTTTTGGGGTTTTTTTTTTACTATCTTGATAGGTTTATGAAATTTCATCTGCACAAAAAAAAAAATGAGGATAATTCATTAAGTATAATATATCAAAAAGATTCAGCAGAAAAGATTTAAATAAAAAGAAAACAGAAACTGAAGAAAGAGAAATAAATGCACAAAAAGAAGTACATAAGTTTGTGTATATATATATATATATATATATATATATATATATATATATTTATATATATATATTATTACTAGAATTAAATTAACATCCTTATGTTTGATGTTTTGTATATTTCACCCAAATTACTTCTATCTCTATCAGCAGATAGACCTAGTTTCATGTGTTTTCATTCACACAACACAGACACTTTTATTATCTTTGGGATTTTCTGTAACCTCAACATTTATATTTTGTATATAAAAAGTTAACATTTTTTTGTTATTTCTTATAAACTGATAGAGAAGGTAAAGAGACATATTTACCAAATTTCCTATAGAAAGAGATTGATAAGATATATTTTCAATGTTTTCTCTTTACAATAATTAATTGGAATTAGATAAAAATCAGCCAGTAATAAAAATGATTTTCCTTGAACAAAGTTTTCTTGATTATGTATTTTACATGCTGGGAGATATCAACTCCAAATTACTACTTTAATTGAAAATTAGATAAAGAAAACATCAATGATAAGGATGTTAGATAGAGAAAAAAATGGTACTATCATATAGGATCATATTGAAATCTAGTGGCAAGTATTTGTAAGGCTGATAATTTGCTAGGAAGAGAGGCCCCTTGAGCAATGGTCATAAATCCAGTTGGTGAACAGTTGGAAGATATGCACAAAGATATATAATGAGCAAGAGAGAAAGGTGCATCTACTTGAAATATGGCTGTGCTTATTGTGTTGAGAGATGCACAGGAGCCAGCAACATGGATTCTTCTCACAAGACAAGATTCCAAGAATTTAGCTTAACTTAAAAATGGCAAAAACCACTCACATCCTTGAACCTTTCCTCCTGCCGTTCCTGTGCCTCAAACCACTTGAACATGTCAGGTCGATTCCCAAGGGACTGGCGGCAAGGATCGCGGAAGAACTTGGGAGCCAAAAGTTTGTTATGGCCTGTACTACTCCACCGTGGCTGGAGACGTTTCTTTGGGTCAAGAAAGTCTGAATCCCCATTTTCCTGTTGGGAAACAAGATCAGTATGACATGCCACATGCAGCTTTATTTTTCCATAATAAAGAGATAAACTGATACCAACACAGTTTCTGAATGTTCTTGGACTTTTTTCCCTTCTTCTAATAGTTGATGACATTTTGCATAAATTATAAAAGTAAACCACAACTCTTAAACATTGTATTAGATGCTTCCTGGCTAAGTTTGATAAACTGTTGATTATCATTTTTTTCACCTATTCTAGTTTCTCTACCAATCCTTCTCTTGCTATAAACATTGTCTGCTATTGAGAAACACTTCAGATGTTCAATTCTATGTCTAATAAAATAAATATAATCTTTGATTACTATTTGCAAAATAGTTCAAATATTATGCATTACAAAATTGCTAATATCTGCTCTCTCTCCTAACTTCTTTATTGTATGTTTTAGTTTGGAATTTAAGACCAAATTTGATAATAATGATGAATATAGGTTATTTAAAAATGAACAGGTAGAGAAAGAAAAATACTGCCTTCTGTGAAAAATGAAATTGAGTTGTCAGTATTGACAATCTTGTACAACTTAACATTTAAAGTTATGCAAATGATCTAGATATTCAGGTTCACTGCTTGGTCATGAATATTAAAGTGATGTCTATCTTTTGTTGACAAGAAATTGAGGTGTGTGTGTGTGCGCGCGTGTATATAAATGTGTTGCATTTAAGATTATGGTATTTAAAAATAAAAATACCAACTATCATGAAGACCATTTCTTTGTTTTTCAATCATAATGAGATTATTGTTTAAAAAAAAAAAAAATAGCAAAAAAATGGAAAATGACTCTTGAAATTGAAAAAAAAAAAATTGGAGCTTTCAAATAAAAGTTAACTATTAATTAGATATTAATTCAAACTCAAGAACTGTAATAAAGATGAAAAGAAAATTAGAAAATGCTGAATACTGAATATAAAAGACAGCTTTATGCTTTAGAAACAGTTTGTTTTATTTTCAATATATCCACTTTTATTTAAATAAGAGGAACAGAGATTAGCAAGAGACAAGTCTGACATTAAAACAAGAAAGAGAGATTAAGAGACGACGGCTAAATTAAGACATGCAGTTTCAAGTAACATTTACTATTACATTTTTGTTACACCAAATAAGATTTAGAACTAGAGGTATTTTAGACGAAATATAATTGGTTTTCAATATTTTGAATGAGGTGGATCCTGATTGATCACACAGCGTTATGATTAGTCAAATTATTTTAAGGGAAAGGAATTATATTCTGATATTTCAAGACATTCAAAAGGATGTATTTAACACATGGAATGCACAAATAAATGACTACTTTCAAAACCTCTTAATAATGTTTTATTATAAAGCAATAGTAACCAAAAATACATTCTAAAATGACAACATTATTTTGGGATAAAACAGAACATGAATAATAAAAAAAAAAACAGAAAAAAATCAATGAATTATGCAGATATAAAAGAAAGTAAGCTCACAGAATCATAATTAGTTCACTTATCTTATTGTGTGTACTGTAACCTCTTCCAAATCAGCCACCAGGGAAAATTAAGGTTCTAATAGATTTTTTGTACATTGTTTTAAAAACTATTTGCTACTACCTTATCTACTATTTATAAATTATTTGTTCAAGTTATCATTACAATGACTTGGGTAGATATTTTAACTATAAACATCTTTAATATATGTAATCATTATAAGACTCATAAAAATTATTGTAATGGCGATTAACTTGAAAAGCATTCCCCAATTACTTCCAATTTTAAAAACATCAGAAAATGATCTTGTTGATGAATTACTGAATCTCGGTGCAAAAGGTTAAGAAAATAATCAAACTTAATTTAAGGAAAACTTGGATAAACATAACCTGTTTCAGGCTACAATTAGACTGACAGAAATTAAACTAAATCTGAAAAATACTTCAACAGGTCATATTTAATCTTAAATGTCATATTTCTATAGCAACATATAACTGTTAGTATGGCACCAAGATAATGAGTTCATTTAGAGAGATTATTTTCACTTTACGAGAGAAAAAAACATTTTCTCTTCCATACAATTTCTAATCACAGTAGCAATCTGACTTTAGTTTCTTTGAGAACTGCTACTAATCAATAGTATAAAACATTTTAAACACTAATATTGCATTTATGATGGATAGTAAAACTTAATAGGAGTTAACTTTTAAATATATTAAAAAAGAATAGGACCCAATTTTATGTTATTTAATAATAAAGTTTAAGTCTTAGTCACAGTTCAATTGACAAAAAAACAAATCAAAATGAGTTTTCATAAAAGTTATTCATTCAAGAAATTAAAAACAATTCTGAGAGAATAAAAATCTTATGCATTAACACTGTTTTATCTTATTTAGATTAATGTTAACCTGCTTAGAATGAGAAAACAGGGAACTAAGTTTAATTCCAGTCAAGTTCATTAGATTCACTTTCATGCTTTGGGAAAAGTATGAATCCATCTCTTCTCCCCATAGCTATAGGCTAAATAGTAGGGCAGATTGGGCTTTTCAGCCTTGTTTGGCAACCAGGCTAGAAGTACAACACTGAATTCCAAATCTCAGGTAGATGGAACTCATTTGAGTGAGAACATGTGGAAACAAAACCCCAAGAGAAACAATCCCTTCTTCAGAGTATGGCGGTTTATAACCCAGCCCTATAACTGTAGTATTACTTCCACAATCATGACTTCATACATGAAATTGGAAACTGAAAATTAAAAAAAAAAAAAAAAAAAAAAAAAAGATAATATTCTAAAATGAATTTGTTGTAAATGCTTTTTTATTTTTATATATAAAATCAGAAATGGTTTAGTAATTTCCCAGTTACATTTTTCTGAGTTTTATAATGTATAAAAAGTCAAAAGAATTTCATTATCTGGTGTTGTATAACAAAGTTTTTTTTTTTCAGTAAACCATGTTAAACAAAATACAGTGACAAACTAAATCGTGCATAATATTCAAATTTGGTATAATGTTGACTGACTAGCTGAAAAAAGTGGATACCTGAAGATTGTTCAAATGTAAAATAGACCATCAGTTAATGTCTGATTTGCTAAAAGTAGATTCACTTAGGATAACTCAAGATAGTTTCATTCTCATTTAATGCAATTTTGTTCCAAATTACAATTCAGAATGAGGATTTTCTGAAAATTACAGTAGAGATATAAATATTACTGACTGGAAAAGATAAATGTATATACTTATAACTTACATCTGTATTTTCTCTCCACTTATAAAAGTAAAAACCACAGAAATGCCGTTTGTGGGTACAATTGAGTTATAAGGAATTTACATTGGAGCTACTAGATTCAATGCTTATTAGTGGGTAAAAAAAAGTCCTTACTGACAAGTCTCTATAGTACAAATATTAACAGAAATATGAGAATGTTTTTCAGCTTTATTTTATAAGGAATATTTTAAAGAAGTAAATACTAAACATCATTTTCTACTTTAACATCATCCAGCAGTGTTCCTGATACATTTCTAATCCATTTCATAAACCTTTACTTTTTGTCTTGTGCAGTTGAAGCCAAAGAGCTTTATTTAATAAAATAAATCTGCGGAGACTTATCTTGAAACACTAATTAAATATTACTTAACGCCATCCTATTTTATCCATTAAACAAATTACAAAGGTTTATTTTTCTCATCTTTAGCCTTTTAAATAATTGGAACAGTGGCTTTGATAGAAATCTTATTAGTAAATGAATCTCATGTACTGACTTGTTCCCAAAACAAATTCATGATAAAAACAGTGTGTGTATTTTAAATGAACGGAAGCATAAAGAAATATTTTCATGATTAACCACACACAAATCAAATGCTGCAAGAAAAACTCAGCATTGAATGAACTTGAATTAAAGCAACAATTTTTAATTAAGTGATCTTAGCAAATCCTTGTAGGATAACTTGAACTTTTCTAAACACATTTATAAAATGTTTATTGAAATTAGAATTTATTATTTTATGGTTTATTTATGAGAACTAAATCATGATATGCATGTTAAAAGTTGCTTGTCACAATGACCTCTTTGATAGTTGATATTTAGATAATTGTTAATAATGAAAAAAAACAAAGATTGAATAACAATTATTTTCAAGGGATTTACTGAGTATTGGACACCAAATTCAAACTGTAGGTGGAACTGTTTTTTTTTTTAAGTTTGACAATAATCTTCTATTTATAAATAAATGCCAAGAAATAAAACAATTTCATCAGATAAACTGAATGGATTATTATTCAGAATTAAATAAAGAGATGCAGGATAAAAAATTATTTTACATATCAACAGATAAGTTTTCTTTTATTATTTTTAACTACTTGTATAAACTGTAGTCATAGTCCAACAACTATCTACATACTTAACCAGAAAATGTCTTAACATATTTCTATAGTATAAATAAGCAATACAAGACAATCAATCCAGTAATATTATGTTGTGGGCACTGACAAAACAAAACAAAAATCCCAGAAATATTGAGTGGGATAAGGGCACTATTCAGTCATAAAAATAGCAACAAATTTATAACCTGCATTAGAAGTCATCAATGAAACTCTTACAAAAATGGAATATAAAATATACTTTAAAAAATTTAAATTATTTTAAAAATATTAAGTTTAAACATCACTGAGATATGCATAAAATTCCTACAATGAAAGGGAAAACATTTAGTATTTTATACTTAAAGAACAAAATGTTTTATAAATTTTTATTGTGTAGAAGAAAATATTTAATAGGTCAAATTTTCAAGTTGTTTATTAAAAGTAGTGTTTGCTGTAGCCGCCCATATATTGAAAAAAAAATAAATAAACACTTAAAAATATGACATTAACTGAAGAAAACATTAGTTATGCATGGTTTGCCATAGAAATATAAATTGCTCAACCATATTCATGTTTTCCATCATTTAAAATAATTTGATTTCAAAGAAATAAGGAATTATATGAATAAATAATATATTAATTGCTGTAATGAAT